ATGGAGCATAGTGATCCTAATTCTTAGGCCAGTGCTCTGCCCCCTGGGAGTTCTGGCCCCTTCCTGACTCTCACCCTCTCAGAGAAAGATTGCTAGTCCTGGAAACTAGGCCCTTTCCTTCAAACAGCAGAAGATAAGAAATAGGATTGGGGTCAGACCCAGGAAAATGAGCAAACAAAGAAAATGATCCAAGATTTCATAATCTGGTGAGTACTGGAAAAAAATTCTGATTCTAGTCTTATTTTCAGAATACACTTTGAAGACAGACGTGCAGATGTTGTCTGTGCCCCATAAGACCTTAGAGAACACATGTACAGGAAAATTCTATTCACTTGTTTTTTCCAAATTATGGTATATTTGTTGGTGCAATTTGGTTTCAGCATTATGATTTCCATGATTCTTTTGGATTCTGACATAATTTCTTCTTGACACTATTGGTGTTGTCCCTTTGAGACAAAAGTACATACATGTAGTAAAGTCGTTGAAATATTGGGTTTGTAATTAAAAAATTAGGGCATGAAACCTTGCTCTGCCATTTACTTGTTTTTTTTAACCCTGGCTAATTCAGAACTTAATCTCTTCAAACCTCAGTTTCTTCCTTCATGTGAAAGTGCCTAGTATAATACCTGGCACATTATGGTTGCTCAATATATGTTTATTGGATGTGAAAATAGGAAGGACAGCTTGTTTTTCAGAATGTTGGAGATAAGTAATTCTGGAATCCTCTAGATCTGAGCAGTTCTTTCCTATCTCATTTCCAATTTAACGTGTCCATTCCATTAAATGAGTTTTTGGCTAGAGAGCTCAAGGATAAGGATGAATGGGGAGGAGAAGAGAAGGCTGAGCGACTGAGTGAGAAGGCAAACTGTATCAGTCTGGGGTGCTACCTCCATATGTTTTCCCTTCTCACTTTAAGTCTTTGTGTCCTCTGCCCCATAGCCCATAGCTATTAATAACTCCCTTAACCCGGTGTGGTGCCCATCTAGGCAGCTGGGCCACCTGTCTATATAAAAAGACATGGCTGGCAGATCCACTTGTGTTGATGTGCAGGTGGTAAGGTCGAGGGTGAGGCTGGCATAATGGATATAAACACACCTTGTGGTAGCAGGACCAGATGTTATATGGAGGTCAATCAAGGAATTTCTCACAACAGAAAGGCAGACAGAGTACAGGAGAATGCATCTAATTTTTAGAGTTCTATCTGTAGATGTATTTTGGTAAGAAGAGTTTCTTCTGGATACTCATGGGTAAATTGCTGGTTATATCTGGGACACTATTTTGTGCTAATTGAACAGAATCCTCACTAGTGAGAGTTGTGTTATTGTTGCAAATAGAACTGTCTTTGCATGTAATAAAACGATGCAGAGATACAGCGTAATATTATGCTTGTATTGTGAGTATGAGTAAGAGTTTGGAAAGTTAATATTAATATTTAGTTCAATTCTAGATATAATCATTAATTTCTATGGTCTCCAGACTACAGTCTTGCAAAGATTTGGGGTGGACTTCACTCCTCATTTCACTCTCATCCTCTCCCTATTTGCATCTCTTTCTTCATTGTGTTGTTTTCCTCTCTAGATTCTCAAATCAAGAGGGAAGCTAAACTTTTTAATATGCTAACAGAAAGTCAGAAGCAACTGAGAAGAAAAAAAAATAGGGAATGATAACCACAAGTAAGGCAATAGTATTGTTTTAACTAGAGCCCTGCCTAAAGAGATTTGGCACTGTAGATATGTGTAAATGATAGGCAAGCTGTGTACATATTTTCCAACCATCAAATAGAGTTATCAGAATAAACAATTTCACAATTTCACTGGACTCTTGATTTCCAATGCCCTGAATTTAGTAATACATGGCACTAAAGAGAGAACTTGAAATCTGCCAACTGTTTATTCATTCTCTGAGTTAGCTTTGTATAAAAATGAAATTAAATGTTTTGTTTAAAAATAAGTGATAACACAGCAAAAGAAAATTAGACCTGCTTAAGGACTATAGGGGAGGTAGATCTTCCCCAAATAATCCATGGACCACTATTGCTCAGACAGGTGCTTTCATCATGAACTTGAGCACTGGAGCAGGAGTCTTGGGTAGGAGGGGAGCCTCTAAAAATAGTTTGAGAAACAATGGCATGAAAGGATAAGGCATGTGGGATAACCTTTTATATAGTTAAGGATTTTACAGTATAGTTAAAAAGTGTTAGCTAACATTTTTGTTAAACACAGTGAGAAGACTATTTAGATGTAATTGAAAGAGAGTTTTGGTCAAATTGTACAGAAATGTTGCTCAGGAACAGTCTTCTAAGAGTTAGATGGGTTAGAATCTAACCCATAGGAATAGTCATCCGAGAAGGTTTTGGCATCTAGGCATGCCTTTTCTCAGCTCAACACAGAGTGGGCAGGCAAAATCATGTGGTAACTGAATATTAATTGCAGGGAGAAAAATGATGCAGACAGCAATGTTGTTGTAACAAGTGAATATGGGCATCTTCTGATACAAGTGCTTTGGTGTGCTCTGTGTGGTAAGGTTTCCTGTCTAGGCTTTCATGAATACGTGGGTAAGCCTGGTGTGTATACCTTAAAAATTCTAGACTCATTTGGTGTATCCCAAATGCCTCTAGCCAAACTGTAATCATTTTAAAGAGCTTATTGTACAAACAGCTGGAAAACAATTTATTGAGTGAGCCTCTCCACACTATACATTTATTTCCTTGTTCCAGCATCCAATTTCATTGGGCTGCTAGGTGTGAATAAGCCTGGCCTTTTTAAACTATCTATGCACAAATAAAACTGATGGTGAGGACCTTGTTCAGGAAATGCAGCAGCAGGTCAAATTGTATCCAAAGGTGAGTGCTCTGTAATAAGTGTGATATCCAGGTGCAAGGGTATAAACGTGGATTTGAATCATTGGCTGTAGGTGTGTTTGGCCATGTGCCTGTAGTTGAGGGTGGCCCACTATGAGCAGTTCTATGTGGGGACATGTGCACACAGCTTTGCATGACTTCCTTCAGTATGTATTAGTGGGTGTGTAGTTTGGTTTCTGGGCAGAGCTCACAAGTTTGAGCTGGCTGCTGACTGCCCCTTTCTTCCACTTGTACTATGGTAAGAGAGATTATGCTCACAGAATCTACTCCCAGAGTGCCAAACTTGTTTAACTGGCTGCTTCCTGAATGAAAATAATTATGTCTGATAATGCCCTGAAAAGGAAGTAAGAGGAAAGGAAAATAAGAAGGAGAATGGCAGTGAGAAACTTTCGAATAGCTTTTGAATTCTCCTTGCTGAGCTAATGCTTTGTTTTTAAGAGCTTCTCCTTCGCTCCGCCCTCTCAAGGCTCTGTTTCTTGCCCAACTACAAGGGCTTTTCTTTCCATGTGGTCCTGTGGAATTGTGGAAACTTTCTCAACTATTGTTCGCCTTGCCTTTTTGGCTTACTAACTAGATGAGATGGACTTTGCTGTCTTATTATTCATTGACTTCATAGATCCCTTGCTATGTACAAACCCACAGACAAGAATTTCCCTGTCCTCTTTGCAATTTTCCTCCTTCTGGCTATTCCTCTGTTTACTTGGGCTTCTGTCAACCAACCACACACCTGTCTCCCTTCTGAGTTGTAAGGGAATTGTTTAACTCTCACCCTCCCATACGAGCTCACGAAGCTCCAGGAGTAGTGAAAAGGGCTTGGCTGGAGCTGGGAACCTTCTTGACACATGTGTTTCAGGCACTTAGAGACTCTGCTTCAATAAGTAACATTGTGGTTATTATTATCAATAATAAAATACAATATGTAATGTAATAGAAGACAGCATAATATGACTAATGTAACACATGTACAATACAGCATATCATAAAAGCTACAATTCTGATTTTTAAAATTTTACCTTATTTTCAAATCACTATAAAACTAGATCACATATTTAGGATACCTAGACAGTGGAAAATCAGCATATTTTGTTTCAGATCAATCAGAATTAAAGAAGTAGGCTTTGCTGGCCATAGACCCAGGGGAGACTTGTTAACCAAAGGCAAAATAGAGTTTGTAGAAATATGGAAGAGTGGTAACGTCAGTTCTCTTCGGAAAGAAAGAACCATGTTTTTGGAGGTGTAATTTCAAATATGTGCTGATTATAGAGAATTAAAGGTGACGCACATCAAGAATCTCTGGTCAGGTAAACAAGAAACTAGTAACTATAGTCTACTTGGAGAATTGGGAACTGGATAAATGGAGAAGGATGGGGTGGGAGAGATTTTTATGGTATATAATCTTACATTTTTCTTTTTGAACCATGTGAATATATTTCCTTTCTGTTTAAGAAGGAGAGAGCGAAAGATGATGGCTTGGTTCTGACACTCCCTTCAATCTCTATATTGGTAAGAATGAGTGTCTGTGTTTATCTACATATGATGGGCAGGGGAAGCTCTTCGGAGCTGTGAGAGCTGCAGAATTAAATAGTTTTTATTGATAAATGCTGTCTGTTAATTGGTTGTGAGAATGCCATAGGGGGATGTTTCAAAGAAAGAAAGAAAATGCATAGCTCATCTCTCTTGAAATGTGCCAACTATTTATTCATTCCTGAATTAACTTTGTATAAAAATGAAATTAAATGTTTTGTTTAAAAAATAAGCGATAACACAGCAAAAGAAAATGAGACCTGCTTAACGACTATAGGGGAGGTAGATCTTCCCCACAAAACCCATGGACCACAATTGCTCAGACAGGCGCTGTGAACATGAACTTGGTTATTGTGGCAGGAGTCTTGGGTACGAGGGGAGCCTTTCAAATAATCTGGGAAACAATGGCATGAAAGGATAAGATCAGATCAGGGCTATACTTGCTGTATAATAAAAAAGAGAAAAATGCCACGAAAAAAATGTTCTTCCAGCTTGAATATCAGGTAGATGGATAGAGATGAATTGATGGCTCAGAGAGTTCCAGGTAGGCATGTGCTTAATAACTAGTGATCTATACAAAGTTTAAAATTCTGAGTGTGCTGTTTTATTTTTTCAGAATGACTCAATCCTTGGGAATTATTCTCAGCTGTGTTCTGTGCATTCTCTGTGAGTCAAGCATAGAAGTGGACAGCTGTCTGGCAATGGGAGATGAGAGGGGCATGACACGAATGCTACTGGAATGCAGCAGTCTCAGTGACAAGTTGTGTGGTAAGTAGAGATACAGATGTCTATCCTCTGATTTTAGGACGATGGAGACTAAGATCTGAATAGATTCTAGAAGGAAGATGATTTGATTTCTAGTAGAAATGAACAGCATGGTGATAAAAGAATAGGGACCAGAGGCCATTGTCTATGAAGGGGATCAAGTGCCAATCAGAGATCCAGATGTGCTGCTTCGTCCTTCTCAGTAGGAAGAAGATAGAAGAGACCCAGAGCACATTTGATGAGCTAAGAACAGGGACACTGGGGTTTCTGATTAGCGAGTTGTTCTCAATACTGGTTCCACTGAATGGAAGTAGAGGGGAAGAAGGAAGAGATGATCATTTCATGTATGATGAGCTGAGGACTGGTGGGTAGAGGAAGTTGTGTGGACAAGTTAGGCTGCTTCTTCATTCTCTTCTTTTCCTGCTTGATTTCTTACCTAGTTGTCCAGGAGCATCAGTATGAAATCATCATTGTCCCAACCTTCCTGGTTGGCATCTTCCTCATCCTTCTTGGGGTCATCCTGTGGCTTTTTATCAGAGAACAAAGAGCTCAACAACAGTCTTCTGGACTCCGAGGTAAAGCTCAAACTGGGGCTGGGCAGAGGCTCAGAGAAGATGGAGATTGCAGAAAATAAGACCCAAATCTAGAGGTCTAGGTCCCTGCAATGGGAGAGGAGATATGGGTCCCCACCTATGCAGTTGAAAGGGTAGTGAGGTCTTTTCTAGGAAGTCATGAGTAGAAACTCAATATATGCTTGTTACCTGAAAGAAGATTAGGCAAGAGGCCTCACGTGACCTGTTTCTGTCTTCTTTGTCCTATTGCAATATCACATGACTGTCTACGGATTGGGGAGGAAGACTTAGTGGGTAAAGCCCAAGGCTTCGTTACCAGCCTTGAAGGATGACATTTAACTCTATAAAACATTCTAGCCCTACTCTGTGCCCCTGAAATATATGATGAAAAGGGATAGCCTTCCTAACAGTCTTTGAAGCATTAGGTAGGAGATGATAATATGCTGTTCTGGAGTATCACTGAGCATATAATGAAAGAGAATCAGCTCATACATGAAACTAAGAGTAAAGAGAAGGAGAAAAAGTCCTCACTGTGATATGAAACTCTATAGTGACTGATCCCTAATCCCTCCCTAAATTTTATCCCAATTCTCTTATAATTCACTCTTACGGAAAAACTTCTCAAAGATGTTGTCCTAAATTCACTCTCACTACTTCTAATTTTCACATTCTCATTTGAACATACTAAAATAAGGCATTTATCCTCACCACTCCATCAAGACAACTCTTTCCAAGATCACTAATGACAGCTATCCTGAGTCCTTATCTTAGTTGACCTGTCAAAAGGATTTGAAACCATTTTGGACTTCCTCTTTCTTGAAATGCCTTTTTTCTTTTAATTCTACAGTCACTTCCTAAATGATCTCATTTTCACTCTTTTGGATTCAAATACTTTCTCTATTATGATTATAGTCCCCTTTGAACTCCAGATTCTTATATTAAACCATTTACTTTGCAGTTTGGATCTAATACACATCTCATACGTAATATGTCCAAAACGAAGGTCCTAAAATTCCCTCACAAATGTCCCCTCCCAATAGTCTTCCCTCTCTTAGTAAACAGCAAGCCCAGACTTCTATGTATTCAGTCTAAAACTGTGAAGGCGTCCTTGACTCCTCCTTCTCTCACACTCCATATCCAATTCTTTAGCAAATCCTGTTAACTCTACCTTCAAAATAAACCCAGGCCACTCTCACCTCTCATAGATCACTGTAGTGCACTCCTAACTGGTTTCCCTGCTTCTGCCCCTATCCCTTTAGAGTCTATTCTTCTCAAAGAAGCAGAATGACTCTTTTAAGGCGTAAGTCAGTCTTGTCAATTCTCTGCTTGAACCACTCCCCCAGTAGCTTCCCATCTTACAATGAAAAACGACAAAATTATTATTATTACTTTTTAATTTTTATTTTTGTGAGGAAGATCAGCCCTGAGCTAACATCCATGCCTATCCTCCTCTTTTTGCTGAGGAAGACCGGCTCTGAGCTAACATCTATTGCCAATCCTCCTCCTTTTTTTCCCCCAAAGCCCCAGTAGATAGTTGTATGTCATAGTTGCACATCCTTCTAGTTGCTGTATGTGGGACGCGGCCTCAGCATGGCCGGAGAAGCGGTGTGTTGGTGCACGCCCAGGATCTGAACCCGGGCCGCCAGCAGCGGAGCGTGTGCACTTAACCGCTAAGCCACGGGGCCGGCCCCATAAAATTATTCTAATGGCCTTACATGATCTGGGCCCTCTCTGGCCTCATCTCCCATAACTCTCCAATTATCCCACTTGGTTCCAGCTGCACTGACTTTATTACTCTTCCTCAAATATGCCAAGTATACTTCTTCATCAATACCTTTGCACTTCTTGCTCCCTTTGTCTATAATATCCTTCCTGATAGCAATGTGGTTTGCTCTCTAAGTGCTTCCAGGTACTTCTCAAATGTTATCTTATTAGAAAGGCCTTTCCTGACCTTCAAACATAAAATAGCATCACTGATGCTTCTTATTCCCCTGTTTTCCTCCATAACACTCATCACCTGGTATATTGTTATCAGCTTCCTATCTCCTACCTCTAGAAAGTAATCTTCATAAGAATCCAGACTTTGCCTATACACCTAGAACAGAGCCTGGTATGTAGGAAGTGATATTTGTTGAATAAACAGATGAATTAATGAATGAATGGAGATTTAATAAGAAGAATGAATCTCTTTTCCAATGGAGAAAAGTTGGCTAAGAAAGGGGGGAAGTACCAGAAGACATCTTTGACTGAGATTCTAGGAAACATGGAATAATTTGACTTTGGGGATAACTTGAGCAAGAATAACCATAGCTTAGGATTGAGAAGTTATCCATACTTCCTATCCACCTTTGGAAGCCATTATTGACTTAAACGATAGTTCCCACTGGCAGTTACCACTATTTTCAGGTATCTGTGGTTTGAGTACCTATTTAGGAACTTCCTTATACTCATACTCAACTGTAATCCTGAGACAGAAAAGAATTGTCATTACCACTTTGCAGAGGTCCACCTTGAGTTGTCTCAGAACTAATGTGATTATTATAAAAGTTCTACAAGGTTGGTATTGATGCTGGTTCATAGAGAAGCATCAGAAGGTATCCCCACATTGGCCAGAGAAAAAATTGCTCAAGAAACTTTCTCACCAGTTTGCTCCAGGGTCTGCTTTCCTGGAGTCCCTAGGGTAGAGAAAAGATGGGTGGTATCATCTCTTTGTTCTAGGCATTGCCCCCATGCCTCCATCAAGGAGCCTAAGCTGGGAAGCAGCAGGACATGGAGGAAGTGTGTTTGTGCCACTTAAGGAGACATCGGTGGAAAGCCTTCTACAGACTACCACGCATGCCCTGGCTAAGCTGCAAGTGCCCCGGGAGCAACTCTCTGGTGTTCTGGAGCATATCTACAATGGTAGTTGTGGGGCCATCTATCGAACCAAGATGTATACTGGGGACCCTGCTAAGCCCAAGAGTGTCATCCTCAAGGCTTTAAAAGGTAAAAGGAGAAGTGTTAGACTTCCTTTCCCCTTTTTACTTTTCCACTGTGAACTCCTAACAGTGAATGCTAACAGGCTTTGCAGATGTTAAGATGTTAATCAACAGATAGTTGTGATTATAACTGTGTGCAGAATAAGAAGAGAATAGAAAGTGAAAACTCAAGACAGAAATTTTTTTCTTGGGGTCTTTCCCTAGCTCAACCTTGCTTATTGAGGCTTTTAGAACTGATTTTTCCATTTTGGATATTACTTGGATGAGGATTTCGAGGTTGTTTCTTCATTTTTCTTCACTATTGGATACCTTTCCCTAATACTGTATTTCTCTCTTTTTTTTTTTTTGCTGATACTCATGATATAGGTTCGTAATGGTGGATAAAACAGCACAAAGAGGGGCCGGACCAGTGGCGCAAGTGGTTAAGTGCGCGTGCTCCGCTGCGGCGGCCTGGGGTTCTCCAGTTTGGATCCCGGGTGCGCACCGACGCACCACTTGTCAGGCCCTGCTGTGGCAGCGTCCCATATAAAGTGGAGGAAGATGGGCATGGATGTTAGCCCATGGCCAGTCTTCCTCAGCAAAAAGAGGAGGATTGGCATGGATGTTAGCTCAGGACTGATCTTCCTCACAAAAACTACAACAACAACAAAAAACAGAACAAGGAGAGGATAAGCAAGAATATTAATCAAAAAGCCTAGACAGTGATAATATTTAATGTAAACAGAACATTCGTCTATTTAGATAGATAAAATCTTATCCACTTCTAAGACCTATGATTCTACATTACCTTTGACAAAAGATCAATGACATTGAGGATGATCTTCTAATTGGTTCCCTTTCTATTTAGTTTTTGTTTACACTCACTCCCTTTTGGAGCCTTGGAAATTATCATCTAAGGTTGCTTCCTATCTCATACCTCCCATTTTATTGGTGATGCTCTGACTGCTCACTACTCATGACTCTTCTGTCCTCCACAGAACCAGCTGGGCTCCAAGAGGTGCAGGATTTCTTAGGGCGAATCCAATTCTATCAGTATCTGGGGAAGCACAAGAACCTGGTACAGCTGGAAGGCTGCTGCACAGAAGAACTGCCGCTCTATATGGTTTTGGAGGACGTGGCCCAAGGGGACCTGCTCAGCTTTCTCTGGACCTGTCGCCGGGTGAGCAGTAGGGTAGTCATTAGGAAGGGAAAGCTTGACCTGGCTGATTAGCTGTGCACATGTCAACTAGCCTGACAAATGACAAAGTAGAGAGACATAATAGCATAACAGAAGGATTGAGTATCACCATTCAATAGACTTTTTATGATGACAGAAATGTTCTATACCTGCTCTCTCCAATATGGTAGCCACTAATCACATGTGACTATGCAGCTCTTGAAATGTGGCTGATGTGAGTGAGAAACTGAAGCTTTAATTTTATTTAATTTTAAATAATATACATTTAAATAGCCACATGTGGCTAATGGCTACCATATTGGGCAGTGCAGATTTAGAGTACGGACTTTAGTCTCCACCTCCTACTAGCTGTGTGACTTTGAGCACGTCATCTCTCTGAGCCTGAGTTTTCTGAATCTGTAAAATGAGAATAATAATAAGTTATTATTAAAATTAAAATACATTATGTATGTAAAAACATGGCAGTGATTGCTACACAGCAAGCACTCAAAATGGTAGCTGTTATCATGATAATTACATAACAACATAACTATTGTTAGTACTGATTGTAATTTTGTTGTTAGTGTTAAGTGTGCCTTCCATTCTGTGACATCACCTTTAGTATGCCGGGGCTGATTTGAGGAGAAATTCAGCTAGTAAGTTTTTGTACCTCAAACTCATATTTTAAAAAAGTAAAATGTTCAGAAATTTCCAGACTAAAGTGCAAGTCCTTTTTCTTGCAATTTCCCTACTCCTCAATGTATTCTTTCTGAAGTGCTACATGTCTCCCGATTGCTTCCTCACTTGTTAATGAACAAGGTCAATATTGATCAATCCTCTGAAATTTGCTGATTATTTTACCACTAAATATGTATGAAAAGGGACCCTGTTAACATCTTCCATTCGGTGATGCAAAGCGGACAATGTTCAAGTCTTTAGGCATTTTAAACCTTTTTAAGAGTTATCCATCTGTAACTTGTTCTGTGCTCTAACCTCGTTAGCTTCTATTTTTCAAAACTATGCTTTTCTTCTAGATTATCTTCACATGCTTTTCTCGTTACACCAAACTTCTCCCTTCTCTTCTTTGTATAGTCAATGTCCACTCAGCCTCTGATCTCATCAAAAACTTTCCTTGCTCCTCCAACTGCATTAGCTCTTTTCCCCATCAACATATGCTCCCTTTAACATTTCCTTCATGTGCTTATAGATATGTAATCATATATTTATGTACGATTACTTGATTCTGATCCACAATCAGACAAACAAAATTATTTGTTTGCCACACTTGAAGTTCCAGAAGGCAGCAGATGTTTATTTTGCTCACTCTTGTATTCTGAGTTCCTAAGATGGATTCTGGCACATAGTAGGCGTTTAGTCAAGATGTGTTGAGTTAATGTGCTCAATTAATCACTCTCTCTCTCTCTCTCTCACTCACATACACACACACACTGCCCCAGGAAAATTACTGCTTTATTCAGTGGATAATCTTATTTATACTTGTCTGTCTTACCTGCTATTCTGTTCTTGATTCATTCTGGTATTCATCTATATTCTTTATTGTTTCTCCAGTCCAATAAAGCATGGTACTTCTTTGCATATCTGACACTGTCTCATATCAATCTGTCCTTGTATCTTATAATCCCTATGTTTTGTATCTTTTCCTTAGCTTTGATGTCTGCAGTTAAGAATATCACTGCCACTATTTTTTTTTTTAAATCTGTTCATGTCATTTTGATATAATGCTTTTTTTTCTGTCTCTTTAGGATGTGATGACCATGGATGGCCTTCTTTATGATCTCACAGAAAAACAAGTATATTACATTGGGAAACAGGTCCTTTTAGCTTTGGTAAGGCTGGGAAAAATAACACCAGATGATAGGGGCTTTTCTTTTTAGTCTGGTATTTGATGTCATATTTCTCATATTTATATTCCCAAGAGAGGTATATATTATAAGAAAATCAGATGGAAATTAGGGGACAGAAACTCAAAAACTGATAAATTATTTTCAGTTCTTTCTTTATGAAATTATTTAGATAATATACTACAAGATTGGTAATTTTAAGGCAGAAAGTAGTCAATTTAGGGTTTTTAGAAGGAACAGGAAGAATTTTAAAAGGTTTCTCAGTCTTAAAGTTCACACACAAGGGCCAAGAACTGTATGTCCATTTACTTGATACTCTTACTTCCCCATATACGCTAATATTAATAGACGTAAAAGAGGCCAATAGGGAAGCAAGTTGGGAGAAGATGTGAGAAGAGAAACTGAATGGGTGAAAAGCTACATAACCAGAAGTATATAATTTTATACCTGAAAAACAAGAAATACTAGTTCAGAATATGTTTGGTTGGAGACTTGCTTTGTTACTGAATGTGACGGGAAATACATGTACTTTAAAAAGAACAAGGAACAAGTGAAAGAGCAGGAATAAGGGGCAACAGTGAGATCATTCCTTTATTTTAAACCAATTTAAATAAACAAGTAAGAGAAAGAACTCAGGGTTTAAGAGAAAAAATTTACCTTTACCAGAATTACTCAGGAAATTTAAATGACTATTTCTACAAAATTATTTAGATAATTGTATTTAAAATAGCATTTGCTGGGGCCAGCCCGGTGGCGTAGTGGTTAAGTTCACGTGCTCCACTTTGGTGGCCCGGATTTCACGGATTTTGATCCCGGGCGTGGACCTACACATCACTCATCAAGCCATGCTGTGGCGGCATCCCACATACAAAAAATAGAGGAAGACTGGCATGGATGTTAGCTCAGCGACAATCTTCCTCACCAAAAAAAATAGCATTTGCTATAGAAAATCAGGGGTCTCTGAAGCCACTATTTTAAGTACTTGATATATCTTGCCACCTTGAAATGTGATATATACCATGGATCTAAATGAAATCAGGGAAATCTTAGAAAAAAGAAGCAGCGAGGTGAGAAAAGAGCAGTAATCAGAGTTGAAGGTCCCATGGGGCAAGGGAGCGAGCACATCATATAAATGAATATACCTATAGTGTCTGGAGGGCCTCGTTGGTATGTCCCTTGATAAAGTTAAGGTGTCAGGATTCAGCCTACCTTGTATTCTGAACCATAATTGCAGAGGTGCCCCATAGGGATGCACTGATCATGCTGATGCATTCATCAGGGCCCTAGGTTACCAGTTACAAGGCAATATCATACTATTTTTTCTTACTTAACCTCTAAGTCAATACATTTTTTAACTCTTCTCATTACGGTATAATTTCTTTGTTCTAAAACCTTAGCAGAGACAGAAAACTGCTAGTTACTATTTTTCTTCATCATCAATGATTGGAAATTACTACCTTAACCTTTTTGTTTTTTTATACTATTCTTGTTTAGTAACCATAGACCTTAATCTCTAGCTCTTCAGTCATGTATAGCTTTTCAACTTCTCTATATGCCTTGAATAGCTTGATGTCAGGGGAAATGAGTCCTGCAAATCTATGTTGTCCAGGCACAATGGTTTTCAAATGTTTTGTTGGCTGAGCTAGAATCATTTTGATATTTCTTAAAAATATAGATTACCAGGCTCCTCTTCCTGGATTTTGGTTAAATAAATCTGGGTGAAAATCTTATGTTTTTAACAAGCTCTCAGGCAATTCTGATTTGGAGCCAGGCTTAAGAATTATTAATAGAATTGATAGTACTTCCTAAGAATTAGAATACCTGGTTCTGGTCACTACCACTTAATAACTGTGTGGCCTTGTGGTAATCATTTGGATTTATGTAAAAGATACTTCCTTAACTTACCTCATCTAGTTATTTTAGAGACAAAATGAGATGCCATAAAACTCTACATAAATTCATGATTATGACACTCAATTTTGCTATTGTATATTACCTTGTTTTGGGGACTGCTGCTAGAACTTGAAACCTACTCCCTCTTCCAGTATCTAGCTGGGTCCTATCTGAGAGGAACGTGAAATCAGGCAGGGGTTAGGGCTTGACATAGTGGGGGTGATTATACTTTCCAAACCCAGTATTAATGTTATTTGGATTATTTGCTCAGTTTGATAATCCTAAACGCAATGCAAAAATGTCTCATTCATTATCATGACTTGGAAGTGGTATGTCATTATTAATGAGACTTGTTGAGAGTAGAAAATGTCCTTGTCTTTTTGAGGATTCCTAGGACTGCTTCTCCTTGTGTGTCACCCAAGCCATGACCTCAGATAGCTGATCCGTCTTTGATCTTTTGTTGACAGGAATTTCTCCAGGATAAGCATCTGTTCCACGGGGATGTAGCAGCCAGGAATATCCTGATCCAGTGTGATCTTACTGCTAAGCTCTGTGGACTGGGCCTGGCTTATGAAGTCCACACCCGAGGGGCCATCTCCTCTACTCACACCGTACCTCTCAAGTGGCTCGCCCCAGAACGGCTCCTGCTGAGACAAGCTGACATCAGAGGAGATGTGTACGGTTTGCTCCTGCCCTCTGGATTTCTCCCCTTCTTGACCTAGGTGTCCTCTAGTCCCTGAACATGACTGCGTCTGTTGTCAAGTATGTCTACAAATGAAATCTCCACTTAGAAGTCACAGACTCTCAAGCAGAAATCTGTGTGATGTGACAGAGCTCATATTTGGCATCTGGCTGCCATCCTTTTTAGTGCCTTTTGAAGTATTCCTTCTGTATTAGATTAGCAGCTTTAATTAGGAAAGCAAAAAGAAAAAGGAAAAAATTATTCACACCAATATCCAAAGACTTAATCTAGTAGAGTCCCTTTTATCTGAAGGAGGTGGGTCTACTTAATCAAAAATTCAGTAAAACCAGGAATTATTAAAATAAAAGGAAATATATATACCTCAAATAATTTATTTTAACTTAAAACATATAAATGGATATTTATTTATTGATCTTTTGGAGGAGGACCAAAGCCCTTTTTATGAGGATGGACCTGCTAAATGAAGTTATATATTGTTTTTCTTGTATAAATACCATCCATAATGAATTATTTTTGAGTTTCAGTTTGGGATGATTCTAAGTAGAGTGAGAAACTTGAAAACAATTGTGAAGCAATTTGACTGCAGATATTTATTGTTATTTTTCCCAAATTTCTACAGTTGTCTCACCCACACAGTTTGACAACACTTTCCTTTTAGCAGCTTATTTTTATAGAATATTTTCAAAGCATTCAACCTAGTTTTCAGAGAATGAATACTTTTTTGCGTTTATATTTAATCAGCTTACATAATATTTAATTGGTTACATAATTGCAGTTATACATATGATTGGCATAAACAGGATTGTAAAGAATCAAAATTGACTTTTGGTAACCATATAACTCAACTGCTTAGAGAAGCACATAGATGTAATATAGAATGTTTTACTAGCCATGAATGTCATGGGCAGCAGAGGAAATTTAGAATGTAAGTTAATATGGTGAGTCAATTAAGAAACTTCCATTGCTGCTTCACTGACATCTGCTTTTCAATAGAGGTCTGGGTGTAATAAGCTTAACTGGGAAATATTGCTCATTTAATGATGATATTATAGAATAGTGAAATATACATCTCACAAATCCAATTATGTATAAAGCTTACTCTGTTAATATTTTTCCAAGGTTTGGGCAATTAGATCTACTGACGAAGTAGTAGATAAAAGATAAACCTCGCTTGGCCTTGTGCTAAGCATAAAAGCTGGAATTTCAGCAGGAAGGAATGGAAAGGATGAAAAAAATGCAGAAGGGAATTTCTCTCTGTTTGGGTGAATGTGTCTGTGTGTTTGCATAAACATACACACAATTTAGCAAATAATAGTAAACATCCATTAATGTGAAATATAGAAGAAAGAAGACATAAATCCAGTCCTCAAAGAGACTATCTAGTCCCCATAAAGACTCCAAGGGCATTACAGAGAAATGCTTTCTAATGGCACTATTATTTTGCTTGTTGTATCAGACAATCTCTATTCCCCTTCACTGCCTTCTTTATGGGGTTCTTACTGAAGGCCTCTGATATTTAAGTGACCTCTCTTTAGGAAAGGCAGAAATAGAATTTAAGTAAATGGCTTTGTTTCCTTTACAGCTGGTCCTTTGGAATCCTGCTCTATGAGATGGTGACTCTAGGTAAGGAGGATCCCCAAAGTAGTGTGTACCTGTATGCAAATAGGCGAGGATGTTTATTTGGGTGGTGGATGATAAATGCTATGAGAAGGGGTTTCAGTACAATCTCTGAAGTTTGAACTGGCTGACATGGAAACCAAGCTGGATTTCTGAAATAGTCTTGTAAAGTTGTGATTCCCTCCATTTCTCATTTCCTTCCTCCTGCTCCTTTTAACTTCCTTTTGTTTTCTCTTTCTTTGTTTTCCCCAACACTTTACCAATTCCAAGGGATGTTTTAAAATCCAAAGAATGATTCTAAGAGTGATTTGCATAAACATAAAAATGTTGTCTTCAGACTTATTAATCCATTTGATGAGAAACTATAGCACATTCCCACATTTGGAGAGTGGAGGGCAGGACTTATTTCTCACTTTGCTTTGTTACTTTCCTAAAGACTCAACAGTCTACTAAATTATCATATCTTTTCCCCCAAAACACCCTTTTTCCAAAATTCTCTAAGTTATATCTTTTCTTGATCACTTGGTGATCACTTGGAGCAACTATATTGTATCTAGTATTTTTCCTATGGCTATACCTTTTGCAGGCAATTAGCTCAGATAGATGGAGAGTAGTGTTAGTTACAGTTCATATTCTAGAAGACCCTAAAGTTCTCTTGCTACTATCATTCTTTCCATACCAACAGGGGCACCACCATATCCTGAAGTCCCTCCCACCAGCATTCTACAGCATCTCCAAAGAAGGAAAATCATGAAGAGACCCAGTAGTTGTACACACACAATGTAAGTGGCTTTTAAAGGCCTACTCTTCTCTCATTCCAAATCTTTTTTGCTCCTCATCAATCATGCCCTTTTCAAAGTGGCTCAGATGATCCCCAGCTGTCCTTTATGTGGTAATGTACAGCCTTAGACCAAACCTATGCAGTAAAACACATCTGTTCATATATCATATATATGATACAATTTTGAGGCAGCCACTGAGAACTATATTACGAATCTAAGTTTGATAAAGTTTAGTTCCTCTGGAAGCTTCTACAACAGGTAAGAAGTAGACCAAATCCAATGCAAGCACAGTAGTGTTTTATTTGTCTAATTTTCAGCTCAGTCAGAGACTGCCAGCTGCAGTACTAATATAGCTGCCATAAAAGCCATTGTACTAGAGTTACTCACTGGCTCTTATTTAATACTTAACTTTTAAAAATTATTGACTATCTGGTTTCCCAGCTCTGAGCACATTAGAAACCAATCAGAAGAAGGGGGTAGGAGAAAATTAGACAGACAGGAAAAGGAGTATTCAATATTGTCAGCAGAAAGGTCAGTTGGTGAACCAACGTGCAGGCAGAAAATGAAAAAATTAAAAATTACACACAGGGATGAAGGGATAAAGAAGATGTGGTATATATATATACAGTGGAATACTACTCAGCCATAAGAAAGAATGAAATCTTGCCATTTGCAACAACATGGATGGACCTTGAGGTTATTATGCTAAGTGAAATACATCAGATGGAGAAAGACAAATACTGTATGATTTCACTTATATGTGGAATCTAAAAAACAAAACAAAGGAACAAATAAATCTCATAGATACAGAGAACAGATTGGTGGTTGCCAGAGGGGAGGGCGGTTGGAGGTTGGGCAAAACGAGTGAAGGGGATCAAAAGGTACAAACTTCCAGTTGTAAAATAAATAAATCACAGGGATGTACAGCATGATAACTATAGCCAATAATATTGTATTGCATATTTGAAAATTGCTAAGAGAGTAGATCTTGAAAGCTATCCTGACAAGAAAAAGAAAAAATTATAACTTCGTATGGTGACAGATGGTAACTAGACTTATTGTGGTGATCATTTCACAATGTATACAAATATCAAATCATTATGTTGTATACCTAAAACTAATATAATGTTATCTGAGTTATACTTCAATAAAAAATTACACAGAATTTTACAACCAATAAAGTACAAAAAGGAATTGTTACAGAACATTAAAAAAGGTTAAATGATTTATAAGAAGGCAGGAGAAAATAATATTAATATAGATATCTATTAAAATTGTTGCTATTTTGTAAATTTTTCAGCATTGGAATGGTCAATTTCCAGCACCTGGGTTTCCCAATAATAAATAGTTACTATATAAAGCATATTATAAATGTTAAATATCATAACTATGTATATTTATGTATATATATACAACACACATACACACACACACATAGTGATACTGGTTGGGTATACCAGAATGAAATTGCTGACAAATATTTCTTGTAGGCTTTCTATGTGTAAAAGGCTATCCTTGATACTGTGGGGAGACACTCAACTGATAAAGTGCCTGATCTTGAAGAACTTAACATTTGGATGAGGAGATATCTGAAACAACATGAAAATCCACATAAAGTGTGAGGCAATAACTAGAATGATTAAAAGCTCAGATTCATCTCAGAGTCAAAAAGGCATAAGTTCAGTCCTAATCCTGCTACTTTACTGTACACTGTTTACTTATCTTAAAATAGGTACAATGATAATCCTACCTCAAAGATATTGTGAGGCTAAAATGAAATAATGCAGGTTAAGTTCCACTACCATGACTCATATAATAAGTTCTTGGTAAATGTTAGCAGTGTTATTAAAGTAGCATCTTTTACAGAGTCTCATGGTACAGCATAAAGAGTGTGGGCAGCACAGTGTGGGCTGAAGTTTATAAGGGAAGGTTTCACAGAGGAATTAAGATTTAAAACAAAACTGTAGGAAGCAATGACAATGGAGAAGATATTGAAGGAACTGGGCATAGCATGAGCAAAGACAGAGTTGGGTGTTAATGACCACATCTAGGGCATAGCAAGACACTGACTTGGCTGGAGGAGACGGCTTCAGTTAGGCAAGGCCTATGTGGTAGAGAAGCTAGGGGGTAGGATAGCGACTTCATATAGCAGGCAGTGGGAAACCACCGTAGGGTCTTGAGCAAGGATGAGACATGAGACATGATGAAAAGTGTATGAAAACAGACTACCTTATAAATTCTTGGTAAAATGGATTGAAGAAAAGACAGATTAAAGGTGGTAAGTACTTTTATCTAGATTAAGGTGATTTCCTGGAGAAGCTAAATAATAAAGGAGGGAAATGACCTGGATTAATGGAAGGAAACATCTAATTACATTATCCAAAATTAATATGAATTATATTACTCCATAACTTCTTATTTTCCTGGCTGTAACGTAGCTTTTACTTGTAGATAAGTAATAGCAATGGTCTAGAATGCTGCAAGTTAGTAGCATCTAAAGATGAGAACGCCTAACTTCTGAAAGAGTTTTTGGCAATAGAATGAAAAAAAAAAAAACTTCTGTCATACTGATTGTAGTTTGAGAAATCTTCAGTCATTCCTATTATAAAAAGGGCCCTGTTGAGAAGAGACTTAGTACTGAGGATGAGAAGGAATATTATTCTCTGGGAAGAATATGAGATACAGGACAATGAGAAGTAGATTAAAGAATTGCAGGGTTTTTTGTTAAGGTGTGTTAGGAGAGAAGACATGTTCCTCAAACATTTGCCTTGTCAAGGCATCAGTTTCTCTTGTTTCCCTTTCAGGTATACTCTTATGAAGTCCTGCTGGCGCTGGAGTGAGGACAGCCGCCCTTCAGTTAGAGAACTACACTCGCGCCTAGAAACTGCTGCTCGAACTGCAGATGACAAGGCTGTGTTGCAAGTACCAGAGTTGGTGGTGCCTGAACTGTACGCAGCTGTGGCGGGCATCAGCGTGGAGAGCCTCTCCTACAGCTACAGCATCCTTTGAAGATCCCAGGGCAAGAAACATTTATGGGTGATCACATACTCTTGGAGCCAATTCCTCCAAGAACAGAGAATAGACTTTCTAGTGGGACATAATGAGAGAAATGGGACATGGATCCTGGATCTTCCCCTACACATTCCCTAGATACCTGACATGATGCTATAGGAGGCTCTACACACCATATACCCTTGAGACTGAGAAATATAGTTTCATTTCTACTGTCCCAATCCTAAAGACCCAGGAGAGAAGTGGTGGACAGTGTCATTCCAAAGGAGGTTTTAGAAATCTGCAGTGTTTGTTGCGGCATGGCACAAATAAGCTGGTCCCTCCCACCACAGGCTAGTTTCCTCCTGAAGCATGTTTTTTTATCTAGCCTATTATAAGGTGCAGAGAAATTGCAATCAAATGAGGGAATAGAAAGCCAGTAAAGAAGTTGATTAAGAGAAAATTAAAGGTTTTACTTGCTGAGGAGTATAGATGTGGACCAAGTTTATCCTTCAAAGAGAAGGAGGAGGAAGGATGTAAAGTTCTTCAGTTCTGGTCCTATCATGCAGGGCTAGAGGAGAACCATGAAGGAAAACTTCTGAGTTTCCTCTTGGCTATAGATAAGAGAAAGATGGTCCCCTTTTCTCTAATTCTGAGAGACGAGTACCCTGTCGGTACTACTTTTAACTAGAAGCTGGAGGGGTCAATTCATGATTAAGAACATTCAACACGTCTTGTTCATCAGGCTAGCTTCCTGGTCCCTATAAGACTAGGGAGATTGAGCCTAAAGAGTCAGTTCAGTCAGCGATGAATATATTATGTGTCTATTAAATAAACAGGAAATGTGGAAACCAAGCAAGAATGCTTAGTAAGACAGAATGTCTTAAACAAGGGCTAGAAAAGGATGTATTCTGAGACAGAAGGCTAGCAGCTTCTGATTTGCAATCATTTACTGATGTACTGTGAAATTTATTTCATTATATTAATATTTATTAAGTAAAAGTAGGCTTTTCTGGTATACGGCTTCCAAAATGTCTACAATAGGGAGGATAAAAGTAAATAAATGGAAATTAATGTCAATAGAAAAATTCAAGAGACAATCTACATTGTCAGAAAAGGGATTCCTCACGTGTAAAACGGGGATAATATATACCTCACAGGGTTGTCATGAGGATTGAATGAGAGTATGTATTTGTACAGTATTTGGCACATAATATGTGCTCAATAAATGTTTTCTTTCCCCCTTCCTATCCTAGACTCTTTCACATCTTTTCCATTTAAAACCTACTATGGCCAAGAACAGAACCTTGGCCTGTCAATCACACTGTAAGGCAGGCATGCCTAAAGCTGATGATGTGGCGCACACACCACATGACTAAAAGGATGAAGTCATCACTCTTGTGTGAGCTTCTGGATGATGACAGTCGTCTCCCACCATTTCAAAATACTGAAAATAACATCATGATGACAACTCAGTTGAACATGGGGTCTGTGATTTGACAGAATACTCTGGGTATTCTGGGAGGGACATCTAAGGCTGCTGCTGGAGGAAAGATGACTGGCCATTGAAAATTTTGTAGAAGTCAGAATCCTGATGGAGTCATGATGAGTCATCCAACTGAATAACGATTCTGGCACTGTGGGAATACCACAAGGACCAATCAGGATTTAAATGGTGAGTGTCAGTAGGGAGAAGGGAGATAGAGTGGCTTGGCACAAAATGATAAAGTCCTGTGGAATCTCATTGTTGCTTCTCGACTGTTCATTTAAGTCAAATTTACAAAATATTTATTTATTCAAATATTTTTTAAAAAATTAAGTGTTAAGGCCAACTGTGCCAGACACTGTGCTAGATATTAGATAAACGAAACAGAGCTTTCGATTACAGTCTAGAAAGAGATACTATACACATATTAGTGTGGGTATTTGTTAATCACAAACTGTGGTAAGTGCTATGAAGAAAACGTGGAGGACAGTAGAAGGGAGTATAAAATGAGGCCCTCCCTGAAGAAACGGCATTTAAACTGAGACCTTAGGGATGAGTAAGTTGGCCTGACAAGGAGTGAGAAGAGCCTTCCAGGAGAAGGACTCTGTGTGAAAACTCTGAGGCAAGAAAAAAGCATAGTTTATTTGAAGAACGTCAAGGAGGTAAGCGGGGTGGGCGCAGAGTGAGGTGGGAGGAACGTGGCGCATAATGAAATGGAGCACTGCTCTTTCATACTGTATGTTAATATGAATTTTGGTATGAGGGAAAGAAGCAGATAAGCTATTTTAAATTTTGACCCGTAATTTTTTTTTCTGGATATAGGTCTGGAAAACTGAATACAGTAATTGCTTATTCTAAAAAAACTGAGTCTTTCCCTCACTTGGCCAGGCTTTTTCCAAAAAGGGGATTACATTTCTGGCATCTTTGACTTATCAGCTAAACCAGCTATTTCCAAGCTAATGAATGGAAAAGAGAATTAAAATATTTACCATTTTATCATGTTGAATACAGGTTAGGATTTGTTGTATTGTTTTGATTTTCCCCTACCGCAATCTTGTTTTTCCAATCTATGATTTATTGTTAAAAAAAAATTCCAGCACAGCTAGGAACTGAGCAAACACCCACCTGGATACGGTGTCTAATTGAAAATTGACAATGTAGTTTAACTTAGAATAGTCTGAACTAGTAGTTTTCAAATCATGCTCATATGAACAGCAGTGTTTTTCATGGTAGATTTAGGTATTTTGTTATTAAAATTGAATAATAAAAGTTTTTTTTCACCATTTTTAAAGAAACAGTAAGTTAATGGGTAGAATCTTCTTAATCATAACCTTGCTGTAATAGTTTTTATGAAATTTTTGCCATAACTCATTTAAACAAAGAAATAGATAGCAAAAACACTGGCAGACTGGGAGGATAGCCTATTATGCTAATTTAGCACACTGTTTTTATTTGTTTTGGACATAAGTGTTAGTGTTTATGCTATTTGTTAGATGCATATAATATTGTCATATGCTTGAAAAAATTATTAGTTTGAATAATGCAATTAAATATATTATCATGTCATAATCATCTAGCAATAGCTCTAAGTGCTCACCATATATGAATATATCTGAGAAACAATGGTGTGGAAATTTTGGTGTTTCTGCATGGTGGTGTTTCTCATTAAAAAAGTAATACCACTGAATGGTTAAAAAGACATATATGGTTAAAATTCCACAGGGAAGTCTATTATAGAAGAGAGGAGAGAAAGGTGGGAGGATGGAGTAAAGGTTGAAGTAGACCATTTCATTCTGACATTTAAAAAATTTTAAATTACCTTAGAATGTTGTTTTAGATCATATAATATTCTTGATTTACTACTCTGATCCATTGAATGGAAAAAGATAGTCCTGACTGTTTTTGTCTTGTAAATACAAAATCAAAACTATTCAAAAGCTACTGATAAAATAATGAAAACAAAAAACTATCTTCTCTAGCGTTTATCACAGGAAAGTCAGAACATTTTTCTGAAAATTGTAATTAGGAATGATTTGATAATTTTAAATAGTGAGACAAAACAGATGTGAGGACAGAACAGCCATAAGAGATCAATGGAAGAGAGAATTTTAGACACAGGAAAAATCAGCAGAAAGTTTTAAAAGACTAAATTAACAATTATAAGAAAGAATCATCTTTGACCATAGCCCTCTGACTTGATTCATCACCGGAAGCTGAAAGCAATAAACTTAAAAAAACTCTAGTTGGAAACAATTATTTTGCCAATGAATATTATGTATTTGATTAAATCATTAAGCCCTAATTTCAGCTGAAGCTGGAAATACATTTATTTCTTAACTACTTCACACGGGTGCTTTGAAGCTGACCACCGATAGGTTGCATTAGCAAAGGTGGAAATAGTTCTTAATTTGGCTTCATTTAAGCAGCTCAAATATTTATTTTCATAAACAAACTGTGGTGACACCAGTTTTGAAGCCCTACTTTGAAGTCTACAGTAACTGAGATTGAGATGTCTCAATGTTCAAAAAATATTTTCATTATTTCCAGCTCAAGTAAAAGTGTATGAAATGGTTCTTATATAACTGCACTGTCCACTACAGCAGTCAGTGGACACATGTGGCTATTTAAATATTAATTTAAATTCATAAAAATTAAGTAATATTTAAAAATAAAAAAATTCAGTTTCTCAGTCTCACAAGCCACATTTCAAGTGTTCAGCAGCCATTCAAAACGTTTCCACATCTCTGTAACATCCAAAAAGAACACAAAACACAAATGCTTTATCCCTTTGCAATCCTTATAGTGATACTAGATACCAGCCCTGCTGGTCTCGTGGTTAAGATTTGGTGCTCTCACCGCTGCGGCCTGGGTTCGTCTTTCCGGTCAGCGAACCACACCACCCATCTGTCAGTTGTCATAGGGTGGCAGCTGCATGTTGCTGTGATGCTGAAAGCTATGCCACCAGTATTTCAAATACCAGCAGGGTCGCCCATGATGGACAGGTTTCAGCAGAGCTTCCAGACTAAGACAGACTAGGAAGAAGGACCCGGCCACCCACTTCCAGAAAAACTGGCGGTGAAAACCCTATGACTAGCAGTGAAGCACTGTCTGATACAGCACTGGAAGGTGAGAGGTTGACACAAAAAGACGGGGCAGGGTTCTGTTCTGCTGTACACGGGGTCCCTAGGAGGTGACTAGACAGCACTAACATAGTGATACTAGAGATATACATTTTGACGTTTTTTAGGGGGCTAAATATATGATGGATTAAGTACACATATTTTCACATTTCATCTTAAAAACAGGGTTAGAAAGGATTAGTCTTGAGCTCAGGAGTCTTTTTAGGGGATGGCCCACAGATAAAGTTCTTAACACTCTACATTCCTTAAGTTCCGTAGTCACAGTTCTGGTAGCTGTAGCTCTATTCCAGTAGGCATGAGGATGAACACTGGCACATGTGCCAAAAATCTGAATAAATGCATTAGGGAATCTAAAGATACTGAATGAGGCTCCCTACAAAAAAACTCCCACAAAGCAAATGGATTATGCCTATATTTTCAGAGATACTATGCAACAGTGTGGTCCAATTTCTGTGCGGTATTCTTGTAGTAAGTACAGTGACCAATTCATTTCAGTTTGCCTGGGACTTTCCAGGTTTTAAAACTGAAAGTCCCTCATCCCAGGAAACTCCTCAGTCCTGGGCAAAGTGAAACGGTTAATTTTCACCCCAGTGTTAAGGGATGGTTCTTTATGTTTCTTGTGTATTTTCCATAATGGCAGCCTATAGTACGAACTGAATAATTTTTCTATATTAACACTTATACAATGGTTAATATGGATTTCTATATTGACCGTTATACAATTAATATAGACTCAACATAACCTGGCCCAGTCTGCCTTTCTAGTTTTTCCACTTACATGAACCTTATGTTCTAGCTATACTAAATTTTTTGGCTTTCCCACATCACGCATTTTCATACAACTGTGTCTTTGCTCAGGCTGTCTTCCTGAAATGCTTTTCCATCCCTCTGAACATATACTGAACTTATCCAACAAGGTCCTATTCAAATAGCACATTTTGTCACAAGCCTTCCCTGATACTTCCCTTTCTTCAACTTCCTCTATTCTCCAATAAAGTGACTTGCTTCCTCTGTGTACTACCAGCACTTAAAAAAATTCTTTCTTATACCAATTGCTACCTTGTGCAATTATTGGTCTACATGTTTGCTTTCTTTTACAGACTACAAGTGCAAAGGGCTCTATCTTTTTATTACTAGTGTCCAACCCTTTCTGGCACATAGGAAATGCTTGTCAAAACTCATTATATAATGTTTTATAAATTTTAAAGTTTATTTTACATGCAGTATCTCATTTGATCCTCTCAACAATTCTGTGAGCTTGGAAAAATTGACTGTAGAATATTCACTTGGTTGATGAACAAACAGGCTCAGAGATAGTGACGTGACCAAGGTTAGGTAGAGGTACGTGTTGGGAATGAATCCCAGGTCTTCTGACAGCCACTCTTTCTACTAAATCCCACTGGAGGTTAAAGGTCACCCAACAGGCAGGATTAGTTTGTGTTGATAAAAGGAGGGTGGTCATTAATATTTGAAGAATAGACTGTGTAAAAGCTCACCCTGTGTTTCCTCATTATTCAAGCTCCATCCCACACTAGAGCATTCGTTCACTTCTCCAATTTAGTTTTATTTGGTAGGAAACGTGGGCTAAAACATTTGATTTTAAGTCATATTGCCAACACTCCACAGGCCACTAAAGATTAACCTTTACTGAATGAAAGAAGTTTTGCTATTAAAAGGAACTCTTTTATACCATGACTGTAAGGAATTTTCAGTGTCAATGTGCCTTTCAAAATTTCAGACCTTTTGTCTGATGGATTCTTTCTACTTTGTCTCTATTATTACAGGTTTCTAGCTGCCGGATAACTAGCAATCCTTGTCCAAAGGGGAAAGCCCCGTGTTAGAAACCTACCAGGAGAAAGTGTTGTATGCAAGTCTGCCACCTATTCTGGGCTTTATCTTTACTCATCCCACCATTTAAAGGGGAATGATGCCACACCAATCTCAAAAAATCCCGCGGGAATTAGAGACTCGGAAAAAGCGATTTGCACACCTTCTTCCTAAGCCCATAAAAAAGGCTATCGTATTTTCACACTTCTCTGCTTTGCTAATATAATTGGATCTATTTAATTTGGAAAGTAATGTGCTTCCAATCCTAGTAAAGCTACATACACGTCGCTACTACCCTCCATCCCGTACCTCCGGGTCTCTCCGAGACGCCACCTTCCCCCTTTCCCCTGGGGACCCGGGAGGCGGAAAGGGCGCGCCCGTGGTGACGATTTTATCCTGGGCGACTGACGTCACTGCCAGGCGCCCGGCGGCACGGTGGCCAGGCCTTCGGCGGGCTTTCCGGGGACGAAAATGGCTATGGCCAGCGATTTTTACCTGCGCTACTACGTAGGGCACAAGGGAAAATTTGGACACGAGTTTCTGGAGTTTGAGTTTCGGCCCGACGGTGAGCAGAGGAGTGGCCGCCGGGACCGCACCCAGCGCGGCGCTGAGCTCGGGGAAGCTCGGGGCTGGCCGTGGAGGAGGCGGGGTGGGGTGTGCGAGCCTCCGCGGGTTTGCAAGCGCTGCTTGAGACGAAGTAAAGAGGAGCTAAGGAATATAAGAGGTTAAATTGGTTTTGTGAATAAAAGATAACTAAAGGGTGGAAATTAATTCAGAAAAGCCACTCATGCCAGATACTGAGAAGCTGAACCCACGTTAATCAGAATCCTAGAATCAGCACACCGGAAGGGACCTTCAATGCCATCTGGTTTATCGACCTAATACGTGCTTGAACATTTTTAAGAACACCCCACCACGCAGTGGTCCGATGGATACTTACAGTCTTCCCGGACCAGTAACTTTCCGACTACCCATTCATCCATTTTATTCATTCAGGCGCTGTATGTAAGGCAACATGTCGAAAAACTAAGGAGACCTGCTCCGAAGGGGGGCGCTCGACGTGGAGAAAAATGCGTGTTTTGCGTACTTAAATACAGTTATTCTCCATTGGATGTATTAAGAATACAAAAAAAGGCGAGCGGTTAGTTCTACATGAAGGAATCAGGGAAAACTTTCTAGAGAAGGTGACAGTTGAGATGAGTCTTGAAATGAGAGTAGGTATTTTCTTGGCCTCTGAGAAAAAAAGTCAGACTGCTGAGAGCTGCCTGAGCCTAGGGCGAGGTGGAACTGCCTGCTGCCCATGTAGTGTGAAGCAGAGTCTATCTTTTCACAGCTCTGATTCTCTTTAGAGAGTGTTGTTGTATACTGAACTCTTCTTGAAACAAGGACGGTCCAACTGCGTAGACGTTTCTTTTTTGAAAGCATATTATTTGCTGGGCTACGTGTAAATACGAAAATTCAATTTACAACAATGAATAAGACTGTTTAATTTTCCTCAAGGAGTTAAATGTTTTGATGAGGGACACAGACATGAAACTAACCATAAAGCAGTATGGATATTAAGTATTAGGTGCTATGTTCATGCTTTGGACAAAGTTCTGTGAAAGCATGAAAGAAAAATTAGGAGAGGATCACACATTACAAAAGGGGAGGAGTATCAGACGTTTCAGGCAGAACGTAAGGAACTAGAACCCTGCCATTATTTAGAAACTTTAATCACCTTATTCTCAGATCTCTTCCAAGTTTAGCTAAGGAGGCAATTTACCTGAATTCTCCATCTGTTCTTTCCTTTTGTGATATTGTTTTCAGTGCGTTTGTGAACATCACTTAGCTTGTTCATATCACTTTTATCCAGTGACATAAATTAAATTGTCTAATATTATCAGGGAAATTTCATGCCTGAACAGTGGTTCTCATCCATTTGTCTGCCACCACACCATCCACATACTTTGATCAGTAACAGTGACTCACAAAGACAGTGATTCCTAAGGGGTTCACCTCATTAGGGTAACCTATCATTTTAGAGGATCAGGACCACGTTACATTTGTACCTGGACAACTGACTAGGTGTGAGGAGAAGCATGTATCAGGGAGTACAAAAGTCATGATGGATTAAAATTAAACATAGATCAGCTAACAAACTGGCCAACCTTTATCCAGAAGCAGCACATAGTTTGTATGCTTCCTAGTCACGATTCTAAACTATTAGCATTGCCATATTATATACATACATTAATTTGAAAGAAAATAATTAAAAGAACATTTTGGAGTAGCGAGGAAAGCGTGAGTATTGGAGGAAGGTAGATCTAGATCTGCATCTTGTGTGACCTTGGGCAAGTTACTTAACTGTTTTCTCACCTATGCATAGGTGAGAGAATAAAACCTAGATTTTAGGGTTTTACAGATTAGATTAAATGCTCTGGGTAAATCACTTAGCCCGAATACAGACACATAAAATAAACTTTAAAAGAAATGTTTCTTCCTTTTTCAGCTTCCCTGTCTAGTTCATGACATAGCTTAAGAAAATGGCCCTTTCATTATATTGAATTACATTGAAGGCGTGGAATACTTAAAAATTATATTGAATATTTAAAAATTATATCAAAGGCATAGAATATTTAAAAATTTGAGTAGCTTCAACTGCAGCCAATTTACCAGTAAATTTTTGAGTATCTACATGTCTAACATTGATCTTATGCTAGGAGGGAGGAAATATTAATAAAATTAGTAGTATAAAATAGTCTTTATCTTCAAAATTGCTTACGATGTCATTTATCTTTTTTTAGCAGTTTTTGCTGTTATAGATTGAATTGTTTTCCACTCCCCACAGGAAAGCTTAGATATGCCAACAACAGCAATTACAAAAATGATGTCATGATCAGAAAAGAGGTAAGGTTTTTTTGAATGTATAATTTTTTACATTTAGCTCATTTTCTTCTTGTCTGTGTTGAATTTACTAAAGTATATCTAAGCTGTACTGTAAAAAAGAAGCCAATTTATAGATTGAAAAGGGATTCTACTTAAATCAGGTATAATTGTAGCATCTGTAACAACAAAAGAAGCAATCTGAATATATTAATTTGTAGTCCCACATTTGAACATATCATTAAATTCATTTTATAATTTGTCATTTTACTCTATTCGCTGTTAATTGATAATCATGATTTAAACACAGTATGAACTTTAAATGAAAGGCCTAAAAGTTGGAGATAAGAAAAAGTTCAGAGCACTATGATGTGCACTTGCGTTTGTCTCTGTTCACCTCATAGGTTTTGCATTGTCACCATTAACCGCTTGGAGATGTTTGAATCCCATGTTACAAAGGCAGAATACAGAGTTTTAAAAGGGAGTTAGTGATGTGAAGAGGGAAAAATATATATTAAAGGAAAGGGCAAGGGAGTGAAGAAAAAACATAGGATGAATGATTCTCTCCCATCTTGTACTTTTGGAATTATAATTAAATTTTTCTGTGATATTCTGTTTGAATATTCAGGGTTGTAATTACGTTTTGTCATTTCCTTCTGAGTTGTGGGAAAAAATAGAGAAGCATTATGAAATTTTTATTATGACTTATTTTCAGGCTTATGTACACAAGAGTGTAATGGAAGAACTGAAGAGAATTATTGATGACAGTGAAATTACAAAAGAAGACGATGCTTTGTGGCCTCCCCCTGACAGGGTTGGCCGACAGGTTTGTATTTAGTGATTCTTTAAATGCATAAATATTAGAAATTGATAATATAATTGTTGTGTTTCTCTTTATTTATTTAAAATAGATCCTTATTGATTCTTTGGTTTTCTGTTTAGTAGGCACCTGGGAAATACTCTTTAATTTTCTTTTACTTAGCCTCATTTTCTCTGCTACTTCCCAGTAGTAAAGGAGGCAATGCATAGCTGTAAATTTAGACATCTTTCTGAACAGTCTCCTCTGTAGTCACCACAAAGTTAGCATGTTTTCACATTGTTATGAATAATATGTATTATATGTTAATCACTTTTATTAGGAATAAGTACAGGTGTTTGTTAAATTTGAGATTTAGGATCTCATTGACTATGAAAATTTACTGTCTCCAAATTTATAACTTTGAAAACTCTTATTTGCATCTTTATGCCCCAGAGAAGGATTTGGTTTATTCAAACTGACCTTTGCCTCTCATATTCCCTTCAGAGTAATTGATGTGTCTCAGAGGGCTTCTGAAGAGCTCTGAAGGCCTCATTTCACTCTGTGGAAAGGCAGTTTGATTTCTGAATTGGGTCCTTTCAACTCTTGGAGAAATGAGATACGACCCCTGGAGGAAGCAGCATTTAATTTCACTTTTTTATATTCCCAAGGATTATACATTATAACACCTTCTTTGACTAGAAGAAAATGTGGAGAAATCTAATATGCTGACACTCTGTAGCAGCAACTTAACTCTTCTATTTAAAGAAACATTATTTAGGAAAGCAAAGGTAATAGTTAACAGTATTTATTTTATGCATTGTAAACACTTTTAAAAAGTAAGTTTAGATCTCAGTTTATTTTATGTATATATACATGTATACTAAAAAATAAACAGCGACAGTAAACTGTGTATCTCTTTTAGACTCAGGGAGAGCCCAGTGTTTTCATCTACCCACTTAGTGATGTGTTCATCTGTTTTGGTTGGTGGGGGAGGATTAGGCATGCTCCAGAAGTTGTCCATTGGATCTTTAAGTCGAAGATGCTATGTTTGTTTGAGTCTTACTTAATTTTCCATTTTGTGTGTGGCATAAACTGTACATAATTAGGTCTTTTGATCAACTGTGTAGCTAAGAATATCTTTAATGGCATCTGTTATTTAACCTGAAAAATCACAGACGTAGCCTCTTAATTATTGGTTTTGGATTTGCAGATAAAATATAGAGAAAAATTTATACAGTAATTATGGCTCACTGGGAACATCTACATTACGTTGTATTTGTTTTACTAGTTCTTAATTTTAATGTTTTGTGAAGTCAAAAGAGTATGAGCCTTTCAGTCTTACAGTCCTGGATTCAAATATCAGTACCATCACTTATTAGTGGTTGAAATATCAACAAGTTTTTTCCTTTGCCTTACGAGTCTTGGATTTCACATTTGTAAAATGAGCCTAATAAAGCCTACCTGATAAGGGTATTTTAGGGATTACAGATAATGTTTATAAAGTCCCTAGCAGCAGGGCCTGACACATAGTAGGTGCTAAAGAGGTACTATTTTTAATATTATGCATTTTATTTTTAGAGCCTGGTAGAAAGGGTAAATGTGTTTGTATTTATTATATTAAAAATAGGCTTACCCATATTATTTTTACATTATGCTTCAAAGTGATGCCTTTAGTTTTTACTGACATAAGTAACATTTCTCTGTCACTCTTAAGTGACATTTTATAGTATCTTCTTTATGAAATCTCTGGAAAGCAGTTTTGGTTGGTCCTAACATTGGGGACTATTGAACAGTTGATGAGGTTATTATTTTATAGATGCGGTTTCTGTTTAACAAATCGTTTCTTTTTTTTTCCCCTCCTCTATGACTACCAGAAACCTTGCAGCTAAAATTGGGACATTTTGGTAGCACGAATACAGATATCTCTGGGGTGGACTTTTATATTAACTTCATTTCTCTATTTTATTTTTTTCAGGAACTTGAAATTGTAATTGGAGATGAACATATTTCTTTTACCACATCAAAAATAGGTTCTCTTATTGATGTAAATCAATCAAAGTAAGTATGTTAAAGCATTGTGACTAAATTGATAAAATTTATTATCTCTAATAGAGATGCAACTATAGCTAGGTTGCTAAGATTTCAGTGGCACCCTATCAGTTTATTAGGCAGCTGTAATTCTGATTTTTGTCATTAAAGACTTGTTATCAAAGAAGTTAGCAGTGTATTTTATTGATTGCCAAAAAAATCTTAATCTAACAGCTATATAAAATGCCCAAGTTTTATTAGCTACTTTTGTGTAAAAATCTGCACATAGTGTCACAAAATTTAAGAGAAATCCTTATTGGATTATATCAGCCTCATTAGCCCTATATCATGTCCTTCTCTTCCTTGGGTTTAATAATTCGAATAAATGGAAAAAATCTAGTAGAGCTTAAGTATGGCTTTAGCTGTCTATGTCTTCCCAAGTTCTGTGTCCCTATAGCACATACCATTGTCTTTGTGTGAAAAATCTCTCTGCCTCCTGTTATTTTTTCCCACTCTTTTCCCCTTAAAATGTCCTCAGAGTGTTTTTTCCTATCACTTTAAATTATAACAACTTATTTATTTGCTTTACTGATTTGAATGTTAGCTCCCTGAGAACCTTGCTATATCTCCAAAGTTAGCCCAGTGCCTGGCACATAAATAGGTGCTTTATAAATATTTATTAGAGGAAAGGAGAAAGGAATGAATGCCTAATAACTCTTGGCTACAAAATGCTATGTTCATAAACCGATCGGACCCTTTTATTTTATTTTTTTGTGAGGAGATCAGCCCTGTGCTAACATCTGCCAATCCTCTTTTTTTTTTTTTTTTTTTTTGCTGAGGAAGACTGGCCCTGGGCTAACATCCATGCCCATCTTTCTCTACTTTATATGGGACACCGCCACACCATGGCTTGCCACGTAGTGCGTCAGTGTGCGCCCGGGATCCGAACCGGCGAACCCCGGGCCGCCTCAGCAGAGCGCGCCCACTTAACCGCTTGCGCCACCGGGCCAGCCCCAATGATTGGACCCTTTTAAACTATCAAATTTATTTTCCCACAGTTGGTGAGGATGTCTCATTCATACCCTTTTGGGATTGTAAATTGGTACAGTGTTTTTTGGAAAGTGATTTGATAATATGCTTTAAAAGTCATGGATATTTTACTCATCTTTGTCCTAGTAATTTCATTTCTGAGCATCTATTCTGGAGAAATATTCTCAAATAATGAAAAAGCTATTATTTGTAAAGATGGTCATTGAAGCCTTAAATTGGAAAAAAATCCAAATGTCTAACAAGGAGAGAATTGTTAAATTAACTAAAAACTATTTGTGAGTTTTTTTTAAAGTAATGGTAAAAGCTATGTTAAAAAGGGCCCAGGGGGCCGGCGCTGTGGCTTAGCGGTTGGGTGCACTCGCTCTGCTGCTGGCGGCCCGGGTTTGGATCCCGGGTGCGCACCGACGCACCACTTCTCTGGCCATGCTGAGGCCGCGTCCCACATACAGCAACTAGAAGGATGTGCAGCTATGACATACAACTATCTACTGGGGCTTTGGGGGAAAATAAATAAATAAAAATTATTAAAAAAAAAAAAAAAAGGGCCCAGGGAATGATTTTAGTATTAAAAAAATAAACACCAAAATATTTATAGTTACTCCACGAGGTGTAACATATAGTATTATAAGTATCATTTTTTCTACCTTTATAATTTCATTTGCTTTATACATTTTTGTGATGCCTAGCTATTACTTTTATAAGAAAGTATACACTTCAAATATGAAATGAATACTGGTGAAGAAAATTTGTATTTTTTTTCTTACAGAAAAGATAGAGATGGCAATTTTCAGTATGTTCATTTTAGTTACCAGCAAATCCTTCCTTTCTCTTGAATTCCTTCAACTTAATTTTTTAGGTTTTTGTTTTGTTTTAGGAATTAACTTATAAAGTTATGTTGTTTCATTATAGGAACAAAAAAAGTAACTTTTACCTTTTTAAATTTTAGGGATCCTGAAGGCCTTCGAGTATTTTACTATTTGGTACAGGACCTGAAATGTTTAGTTTTTAGTCTTATTGGATTACATTTCAAGATTAAACCAATCTAAATTGTCTGTTTTTTGAAGTTGTTTTTATATTTAATTAAGGGATGGGTAAGGGAGGGCTTATTTGTCATTGGATTGGGATTTTTATGCATGTGAAGCAAACATTTTTTTTTGTATGCAAACTGAAAATAAGAAAATACGTAAACAGCCTTAATGATTATCCTCACCTGGGTCCAAGTGGGTTGGACAGTCCCCCCACACATTAAGTTCTGTAAATAAAAGCCACCTTTCATTGAAATTGTGCTCCAATAAAACATATCAAAGCCTGGATGGAGAGTGCTTTTTTTTTTCAGGAGGTTATGTCTCTGATTCACTTTAAAGATAATAAAAAATTGTTGTAGTAGCTACATCTTACAGCAGAAGTTCTTTCAGGTAGAAATATATAGCCAGATTCCCATCCATTAAAGGCAATTGTAGATCTTCCCTTATTTCTTCCATACCTGACGGGATTTAGTTTTTGGGTCTTATAGAAGTTGTTTACATAAAGTTCTGGATTTTTTACATTTATCACAAACCCCTCAGAGATTATTCACATTTAAATATTTTAGTATAAGCAGAGATTGCCTAAAGGGTTACAACAGTAAAGTCAGTACCCCGAGTTAGGCACATCTTTTATTATGCCCTCATTCCTTATTTCACAGTCTATATATTTTGTGTATCTGTGGGAACTAAATGAGTTCTCAGCTTAACAAGTTTTTTTAAATTTAGACTTAAACACACATATATGTGTATGTGTGTGTTTGTTTATTTGTTTATTTATTTATATTTTGGCTCCTAATGAGCACAGTTCCCACTCATGTTTCCCAGTTCCCTTCAACCTTTTTTTGATAGACTTGATCTTTCATTACTTCTCTTAGTAATGATGTCTCTGGTATACTGTTACTCCTCCATCTGAACCCCTACTCTTTAAAAGTGTGCAGTCCTGGTAGTCATAGTCCACTCACCTCAGGGACCAGTCAAGACTGACCTTAGGGTGGAAGAATTAGTCTCTGAAGGCTTGCCAGGACTCCTGAGCAGCTGGACTCGAGAGCTACTTTGTCCAGTAAACTCCTTTGAGATAATAGAAATGTTCTCTATTTGCATTCTAATAGGGTAGCCACTAGCTGTTACGTGTGGCTACTGAGTACTTGAGATGTGGCTACTATAACTGAATTTATAGTCCTATTTAGTTTTTAAAAATTATTTTCCAACATTTTATTATGAAAAATTTCAAACAGAAAACTGTTGAAAGAATTGTAAAATGAATACCCATATGCCAATCTGGATTCTATAAGATTTTATTTTACTGTAATAAGTCAATTATAATAAATCATGTCCTGTTGATTTTTCACTTAAAGGTGGAATAACTGGTGTAATTGGTGCCAATAGACTACTCTTTTTTAAAGTGCTGTTTAATTTTGATTAAATTTAGATGGCCACATGTGGCTTGTGGCTACCCTTTGGACAGAGAAGCTCTGGAGCCTGGCTTGGTGGCCTGGTTGCCATGGAGTGCTATCTGGTTCTTGACACTGCATCCTCTTCAGGGTTGCCATGGAAAGTCACCTGATGTCCACTTCATTGTGCAAGACTACATTGTCATCACTTCAGGTCTCTTATGAAAATAAATATTCAAGTTGTAGACCTTGATGGATGTACAGTATAAAATCATATAATTCTCTTATACTTAGATGTCAACCTCAAGGACAAGGGGAGAAACAATTGCTCTTTGAACCTCCAGTGGGCTCAACTTTTGGTTGCTCCTCAAAATAATCTTCATTCTGTGGCTCCTGTTGAATAAGATGATCCACTCAAGATTGAGCAAGGCTGGGGGGAAATAGTCCTTGGATTAAAAACTCTTTAACATATTAACTCTTTGTCCCTATTCTCTAACTTCCTTCTAGCTCTGATTTACTTGTTATACTCTTTCCCCGTTATCTACTAAGTTTGTCGTATTCAAAGCAAGATTGGAGAATAGGTCATTAGGGTTAATATTTTATATTGTCTCTGATTTTCTCATACCTTGTTTGTACTGGCCCTTGATTGTAAGCTGCTGGTGGACAATGATCATTAAAAATTAAATTTTGTACAGCACTAGTTTTATGTGAAACTAGATTTTTATAGCATTCACGTCAGGATCCAGCATTCATGGATACATGTCCCCACCTCTACTCCCCCTATGATAAAGAGACCTCTTACAGTAATCGGACTTATTTCTGAGTGCTGGGTCTGCGCCCTATCCCTCCTTTTTCCCTTCATGGGATGGAGCGTCACTACACCAGCACCTAGCACAGTCTTTTCCGTATAGTAGGTGCTTCGTAAAAGTTTGTCGGACTGGTTGTCTTTTGTACTTACTGCCTTCAGATTATTTGTTTTTGTAACTTAGCCTAAGGTAGAAGAGATTCATTTCTGTCGCTATGGAACCCTTTCAATTACCATGAATTTTGCATATGCGCATACTCATACTGCAGAGTTATATATTTGAACACATTGGATAAGGATGTGTCTTTTGGATGTGGCTCACCTGTGATCCTAATTTCTCATGTATAGACTGAGTAGAGCTCTTTTAACTTACTCAACCAAAGCAACAAATACAGCGCAGCATAGAGGAGTAATGAGAATTGGGATGATCTGCCAGGCTCTACTATTCTATTTTATTTGTATATTTTCCTTTGAGTTTCCAGGTTTTCTGCCTCTACTTCTTATAATTAAGAGTGCAGGCAGATATTTCATCGATATCAGGCTGAGTCTATTCACATGGACATTTTTAATATGAATATAAATGATGGCTGAGAGTATTTATTTTATATATCCTATTGTTAGACTACTTTGTTTTGATTTGAAATGTGTGAGACCTGTGAACATGGATTGTGCTGTAAGTTCAACCACTGACCCATATGATTATTTTTAAAGACTATTTTTTTAGAAAAATTTTAGGTTTACAAAAAATTAAGACAAAGGTACAGAGATTTCCCATACATCCCCACCCCCACCCATATGTAGCCTCCCCCGTTATCAACATCTCCCACCGGAGTGGTACATTTGTTACAATTGATGCACCAACATTGACACATAATAATCACTCAACGTCCATAGTTTATATTACGGTTCACTCTTAGTGTACATTCTATGGGTTCGAACAAATGTATAATGACATGTATCCGTCAGTATAGTATCATACAGAGTATTTTCTCTACCCTAAAAGTCCTCTGTGCTCTGCCTATTCCTTTTTTGCTGCTCCCATCCTCTGGCAACCACTGATCCTTTTATTGTCTCCATAGTTTTATCTTTTCTATGCTGTCATATAGTTGGAATCACATAGTATGTAGCCTTTTAGATGGACTTCTTTCACTTAATAATACACATTTAAGTTTCTTCATGTTTTTTCACGTCTCTTGATAGCGCATTTCTTTTTAGTGCTGGATAATATTCCATTGTCTGGATGTACCACAGTTTATTCATTCACCTGCTACAGGACATCTTGGTTGTTTCCAAATTTTGGCAATTCTGAGTAAAGCTACTATAAACATCCATGTACAGGTTTTTGTGTGAACATTAAGTTTATTGATTATTTTCATAATTGGTTTCCTAGCATTTAGTAATGAGCTAGAATAGAAAATCCAAAAAATTTAATGAAAATAAACAACAATAGTAAATGAATGATTTGAGGGTAAGCTTGAAGTCTGAACTGTGTGATATAGTGGAGAGAACACTGACTGAAGAATCAAAATTCTTAATTATGGCACTACTTCACAGAGCTGTTTTCCCTTTCAACCTGTGAGTAGACTTTATCCCTTAGTGGTGCAGATCCCAAATAGCCATCTGAAATACTTTTTTTGCCATTATTTTTTCATGCTGTCTTATTTCCTGAGATGGCCTGCACTTTTAGTTACCTAGAAATTGGAGAAAGGATGGTTATAGTTTGATTGACTGCTGGAGGCCAGTTGGGACAATATAGAGGATTTTAACTCTAGAGCATTAGAATGGCTTTTTTTTTTTTTTTTTTAATGTATATGTATATTTTTTGCAGAGGAAGATTCGCCCTAAGCTAACATCTGTTGCCAATCTTCCTCCTTTTTTTTCTTTCCCCCCCAAAGCTCCAGTACATATTTGTGTATAGTTGTAAGTTTTTCTAGTTCTTCTATGTGAGCCACCGCCACAGCATGGCTACTGACAGACAAGTGGTGTGGTTCTGCACCCGGGAACCGAACCCAGGCCACTGAAGCAGAGCCCACGGAACTTTAACTGTTAGGCCATCAGGGCTGACTCAGAATAGCTTTTATTGTAAAGATGAGAAGGACAAATAAGGTGGCTAATTAGGGGAACAGGAAACCTCAAACAAGAGGTCTTTTGAGTTTTAATGTAAGACCCAGGAAATTTAATATCACTCAGTGGTGTAAAGGTTAGGCATTAGGACAAATTACCATGGAGGTAGGAACCTGGCCAGGTGAGGTTACTCCTCACAATAGAGTGATGCAGACCATCTTTCCCTGGGAGCTGGTGGTTATTCCAGACACCCTTTACTTCAGCTTAGGACAGGAAGAACAGCGTGCTGCTGTGAAGTGATAAGGCACTGAGGTTTGAAGGTGTGACCAGAAAGCTTGAAGGTGTGACTAGAAGCTGTGTGCTAAGCTTCTAGCTGACAAAGTTAATGTTGTCAGGAAGGGATGGGTAAAATGTGTGGTTTCCCAAGTGAAAAAAGGCTTTGCAGCAAAGCAGCCAGGGAAAATACATGAATGCTTTATTTAGTCATTTTGTGTATGTGGATGTGTGTTTTGCAAAAAAGTGAATTCGGAAGACAAAGTTCAAGAGCATTAAAAACATTCTTCAAATTTCTCATCTTTCTATTTTATTAACTGTGGTTGGGACTAGATGAAGTTTGGTGCTGCCAATTTTGTGCTTCTTTGATCAAAGGGCCACGCTAGGAGTTTCAGTTAGTCCCATCTGAAGTTACTGCTGTTACCTTCTGATGCTGGTTATCTTCTCATTTAAGAAGAAATTTGCCTTATCTAGAAATTCAGAGCTTAGTAATAAAAAGGAACTAGAGCTTAGAGGGAACAGCTACACAATTTGGCTTTTCAATCATTAATTTCATTCTGCCTCTTTCTAAAACTGAAAAATCTAGATTTTGTAGTCAATTTCTCTTAACTTGCACATGTTCATCGAGTACACACATAGGCTTCGTATCTCTTCTATGTGCTGCAGGTATAATAATGAACAAGACAGATGTACTCACCCTATAGAGTTTATATAGAGGAGACAGACAACTATGTAAGTATAAAAAAGTATTCTTTACCTGTCTAGCTTGCATCATGAGAACTGTCTACCCTCCACCAGCTGGAAGGGTGTAAATCAAAACAGAAAAAAAGCTCAAAGTTACTAACATCTCCATGGGCAGTAAGATTTAAATAACTAGACCTGAAGTTAAAGAATGGTTTTTCTAAAGAGGTAGCAGTGTGCTGCCACATGTTTCCCAGCTCCTAAATTATGCTAATGTGCGTCTCCTCTCCCGTACACACACAAACTTTCCTCCAAGCATCTGCACTCCAAACCTGACATGCTAGGATAGACAACCTAGCTCAGTGTGACAGGATTTCTGGATTTCAGTCTTGGCTCTTCCACTATTTATAGAATCTTGGGAGAGAAAGAAAAAATGAACATTTACCTATTTTGAAGTCTAAGAAATCCTATCTGTAGTGATAATCTCATTGAATTCTTCCAAGTCTAGGAAGTGAGTGATATTCTTATTACCAGGTGAGGAAAATGAGGCTAAAGATTTGGAGTGACTTGTTCAAATGGTTACAGCTAGGGAGGATTTGAATCTTAGACCTCAAATAATAATGTTTAGCATTTAATGAGTGTCTACTATATATTTTCCAGGTCTGATTAGGCACTTTATATACCCTATCTCATTTAATCCTCACAGCAACCTTGGAAGGCAAATATTATCCCTATTTTACTGTGGTGAATCCGAGGTTTAGAGAAGTGAAGTAACTTGCCTCAACTCACACATAGAAGCTAGGGCTGGTGTTTCAAGCCAGATCTGCCTGGTTCCAGAATTCATGATTCGTGGCAGAGGTTTGTTGAAAATCAAGGCCCTTTAGAATCCGTAGTCCATTTGTACTCCATGTATTCAGTCATGCCTGATTTTAAACATGGGTCAAGCATTAGCAATAATGTGTCCTTTGGCAAGTCAACTAACCTCTTAAGGTCGATTTCAACATTTGTAAATTGGGGACGATAATAAATAGCTGTCAGCGTTGAGAGGTTTCAATACAGTTATACACACAGGTTTCAATATGGTTATACACACAGTAGGTCCTCCAATAAATGATAGTATCTCTGCCACCTTTTCAACAACCATTACTCTTTCTCCCAGCCCTACACCCTATGTTCTCTCAACAGAGCTTCTTTTATTTCTTTATTTTTGGCATTGGGATAAAGGGCTGAGGATCTCTCTCTGTTTTGAGATTGACAAAGCCAATCCAGGATTAGGGTAAAGGGAAGAAAATGCCCAGCAGCAAGTATTCCTGAAGTGTCCAGACTCCACCCATGATGCTTTGCTTATGTTATTAAATTAAATTAGTCTCTGGGAGGTATTTCAGTGGACTGCCTGCACATGGTGACAAGTGGCAGACCTCAGTGGTGATTCAGAGATTAAAGACTGCATTGAGGGACAGAAGTAGGCTACTTGAGGGCAAACAACAGGCAGACAGCTAGACTGGGTCCTAGTGGTCAGATCACTCAGTAGACTGTGTCTGTAAAGTAGTTGGGTGGAGATGTGGGGCATGAGCAAACTGAAGAATGGGGAAGCCTTCTAAAGTGTGATGGTTTAGTTGTGGCTAGAGGTGAGTAAGAGAAGAAAAGAATAAGCAAGGAATTTAGTCAGAGCCTGGTGAAGTAGGTGTGGGTTTGCCTCTGCATAATCAATTTCCCCTTGTGTCCCACACCTCACTCCTCTTCCTCCACACTCCATATTAACCACTGCCACTTGATTTGAAGAGCAATGTAAATGGGCCTCATAAAGCTGTAGGTCAGAAGATCGACAAGGCCTGTGTCAAATGAAAGCAAACTTTAATGAGAGATTTGGATATACTCTGGCAGGGTCTGGCTCACAGAAACAGAGTTCTAGAAATGAATTTCTTTTAGCTGGAAGGATGTAGATCTTCATGAAATAAGATTCATACACAAAACTCAAGTAGAGGAATAATTCACCAGTATCTCTTAGAAATCAATAGTGAACGTTTTCACACACAACTAGTGGTGTATAAATGGGAACAACTTTTCTGGAGGGCATTTGGTAATATGTGTCAAAGTTCTTTATTGTATATATCCTTGGCCACGTAGTTTCATGTTTAAAAAATTTTCCTAGGAAAATAGTCAAAAGTACAGGCCAAATTTTTTTTTTGTTTGTTTGGTGAGGAGGATTAGCCCTGAGCTAACATCCGACGCCAATCCTCCCCTTTTTTCTTGAGGAAGATTGGCCCTGGGCTAACATCTGTGCCCATCTTCCTCTACTTTATATGGGACGCCACCACAGCATGGCTTAACAAGCAGTGGGTCCGTGCATACCCGGGACGCGCACCTGCAAACCCCCGGCCACCACAGCTGAGCGCGTGCACTTAACCACTGCGCCACCGGGCCGGCCCCCAAATATTTTTTATAGTAGCAAAAATTGAGAACAATGTAAATGTCCAACAGTAGGAGATTACCTTAATAAATTATGGTATAATCTCTATGGGTAATAACTATATATGGTTTTAAAATCACATTTTAGATAAATGTTTTTTAAAAGAAGAAACATTTATTAGAAAATAGTAGATCAAAAACGTTGTGTATAGAATGACATCAACTTTGACAGTAAACTTAATGAATGGATAAAAAACTAGAAGAATATACATCAAAGTTTTTATAGTGGAGTTATGGATTTTTTAAAATAGTTTCTAAAATACATTTATCTGCAATAAACATAAATGGAAAAAAGAAATAATCTTTTTTTCAAATAGCAACATGTAAAAGAAATTTTATAACAGGATATTTATGAGTTAAAGAATAGTAATAATAATTCTTCTGTATATGTATATATATATTTATATATATATACATTTTTATCATTTGTTTTTACTAGCAGTTTCTTTCAAGTGTGCTAGTTTTTGTTAAAGATACTAGTTTTTGTTTTCTACAAAGCTGTGTTCCTTTATCTTTTCAGTCCTCAAACAGAGATTTTGATTGTTATTTTGCGAAGAGTACTAAGTGGTTGTTTAGTTGAAATGGAGGAAGATATTGCTCATGACCATTTTTCCCTTCCCGTCAACTTCAGCTTTTATCATACAATTTCCTTTTACCACTTTGGTCAAGAGGAGGGGCAGAAAATTTTGAGTTGTAGTACCACTCAGAGACAATTCATTTCTGCCTTCTGTCTTGCAGCCTCTCACGCATCCAAGGGATCCAGGATTGGAAAGGCCAACTTCTCCCACCTCGTTTTTGGGTCAGTTTCCTCCACCTGCATCACTGCATGGCACAAACACAGGTAACATCTGCTTTCATTCCTCCAGATCTTTGTACCTGATTATACTATTAGTCCTACTTATAAAGGAAAAATTCTAGGAATATGGCATTTTATTACAGATGACTTGGCATGAACATGGAATTGATGGGAAAGCATTCTTTATTGATTGCTTTAGGGCTGCGTTAACTTGGAAGGATGTGAAAACTAGTTCAGCATTCACGGAGAGTTATTTTCTTTTTTTCAACATGCTACAATTTTTGCTTTGTGTTATCTAAGTGAAGAGGGATTTGGGGGCTTAATTACTTTTTATTTGAGTCTAATGATTTACATATTATCTTATCAATATTAAAGGATTCTGTGATAGAAAAAACTCCTTTTCCTTAGGAAATTAGAGAAAATGTGCAGAATTAAGATTAGAAAATTTTATAAATTAAAAAACTTTTAAAAGAATGTCGTTACATGTGCAATTTGTTTTCCATATTTCTTGTTTTCTGGATATCATCTTTTCACACTCATTAATATAAGCAACAAGGTAAATTTTAAGTATTTACTGTTTACAATTTTTTTATCTTAATATCATTAATAGCTTGAATCCTTTATAGATATTGCCTAATGACTGCCCACTGACAAATTTATTTTCACATAGGCTTCTCTGGCAACATCATTCACTAGAAGACTATTTCTAAAATTTTAATATGCATGGAATCATTTGGGATTAAAAATACAAGTGTCTAGGCTCCAACCTAAGAGATTTTTATTCAGCATATCTTGCATGGGGCACTGGAATCTGGAATGTTAACCAGTCTGCAGTGTTAACCCTCAATAATTCTTTTGCAGATGGTGTGTGGGATACACTTCGGGAAACACTCTGGTAGAGTCATGTTGTAATTTAAAAGAATGCAAGAACCTTTTAATATTTATATCCAGATCTGGACGTGTATATTAAGTTTTTTTAAAGCCAACATATTTATATTTTTTCAGAATTTCAAAAACATAGAATTTTTGCTTTTAAATTGATAGTTTTAAAATGTCTCAGTAATTTGGGATGGTACCAATTATGCCTAACAATTGTATATGTTTTTTGAACATTTTGAGCTAAATTGGCTGGGTGAATAGGACCCAGGCTATTCAATCTATTGGTAGATTTAAAAAAAATTCTTTCTGTATTTTCTAATAATTATGAGAGTAATCACTAGGAGAATAAATGACTTGATTAGAGATATTGAAAGGTTTTCCATTTCTAAAATAAATCAAGCTCAGTCTACAAGCCATAGGCACTGAAAGGAGTTAATAAACACACAGCCCAGCCACATACACGTACACATATACACACATACCTTTTAATCCTGGTATGTTCCTATAGACTGACATTTTAATTTCTCTTTAGACAGAAATCATCCTGTTGCAAAGTTTTAATGCAAAATATATTTCTCTTCTTACTCAAGACATGAGCAATCAGGAAGTGATTTATTCCTCCTTGCGAGTTCTTCAGTCTCCTTCAGAGTCACAAAATAGATTAAAGCCTTGTGGTACTAAAAGGCCTGGGAAAACAGATGACAAAGGTATATGTTTTAAGCATCTAGATTCACCTGTCTCTTATGGATTCTCAAACTTTAGACTTTTGAAAAAAGTGTTCCTATCTGTGCTTCAGGTTCTCAGAGGGTAATATGAAATCATAATTGTGTAGACTAGTAGGACAAGCCTTTTTTTTTTTTTTTAAAGTTTGTGAGAATGGAGAAATTAATGAATTCTTTTAAATTTGAGAAGCTAATAGAATGTTTTCATTCAAATTTGTTTAAGAGGAATTGATGAGGCCTTTAAAAGTAAAGGATAGGGGCCGGCCCCGTGGCTTGGTGGTTGGGTGCACGCACTCAGCTGCTGGCGGCCCAGGTTCGGATCCTGGGCGCGCACTGGCACGCTGCCTGTCGGGCCGTGCTGGGATGGCGTACCACGTGCAGCGGCTGGCAGGATGTGCAACTATGACATACAACTATCTGCTGGGGCTTTGGGGAGAAAAAGGGAAAAAAAATAAATAAATAAAAGTAAAGGACAGACTAGAGTCTCAAGAAAAGATTACATTTTCTAGAGAAATAAAAGTCTTACAGAATGAGAAATGAAAAATATGCATTAGAAACAATATTTTTATTCAGACAAAAGATATTTTAGATGTCTTAAATATTTACCAAACATTAATGGCAATGAAGAAGCAAAAATGTTCAAATTAAAAGGAGCATTCTAATTTTTCTATTCTCTCTCTCTCCCCTCAAATATTGTCACAAATCTAAATTAAGAATAACTTTTACTTGTTTAATTTAGTGACAGAGATACAATTTTTAGATCGTAAGGACCTGAAAAGTAGGAGGATAAACGTAGTATTGACTACAAACAAATAGAACTGATGAAAAAGAAAGGAAGTTGATTTTTGGAAACTCCTTTAAGGATGAACCCCGATCACATTTGCAGCTTCAGAATATCCACTATTGGCCACCAATTTCTCAAGAATATTGACTGCTTTGTCCTTCATCTTCATGGTTAATCATGATCATAGGAAGGAGTATACATGTCAGTGTGGATTCTCATAAATGTGTATTGTGTCTATTGCCATCTGTGCTTTTGTCAGGGATATACTTTTAAAATCCTGTAGGACTGTTCCTGTGTGTAGGATTTCTACAATGGGTGTATGTCAGTCAGAAATCTGAAACTTTAAAACTGTAATGACTAGACCACAAGTTTAAATCAATTTGTATGATATAGTTTTGTAAAAGTTTTGGAGAAGATTGTCTTTTTGTTCCAAATGGTGTCCTAGGTTAACGTTAGTAGCGGGTGAGGCTCTATTCCTAATGATTATTTTCTTCCTTCTTTGTTTAAAGAGTTTTCAGTAACCTGGCGTCTCATTGTAGTGACTCTTGGGATCCTCTGCTTAATTCTATTGGTGACAGTCACAGTGTTGGGGACAAAGAGTGAGTAATTGGAATATATCCTTCAAGTCTGAGTAACAGCAGTAAGCACTAACTGTGTAGATATTAACCAGGATCCAATAACTGTTCCTTGGCTGTAATCGGGGAATGTTCCAGGTGGCTCTTTTTTGGTGATTTTTCCTCAGACACATCACAGTGTCATTTTCATTTTACTTACCTATCCCACTGACTATGTCAGTAATGAACTTTCTTATTCTGTATAATACATGGTAACATTCCTTCTGGTGCAGGACAGTAATATTCTGCTTTCCGAGTTTAGATCATTGTGAATTTTAGATAGACATTCTTTGCGAAAAACTGTTCAAAAGAAATTATGACTTTCTCTTGACTTTTTCTAAGTGTACAATGAAGAAATGGTTTAGTAAAAAGAGTGATCCTATGTGTGGATGTTAGATGATCTTGAATTCAACATTTATCTTTTATTTGAATTCCGTGACGTCTTTAGAGAAAAACATTAATATGTTACACTCAGATAAAATTACATATTTGAATCTTCCTCTCTTTTCTCCTATGGATATTCCATCTACTCCAATAATAATGATGCTATCTCTTCAGGTTTGTTAATGCAGATTTTCATTTCATTTCAGTGTTGCTAAATGTTGATTGGTTTTCACTTTGGTGCCTATTTGTAAATGATGTGCTAACTGTTAAAAAGAAACTAAACTGAATAGTAAGGTGTTGCCATTATAAGTTTATGCAGATAGCTTATTTTATTTATTTTACACTTAAGTTGCTAATAGTGAGAAATTTGATGTTTCTATTTCTGTGGTCAGTTTATTGAGGTGTTACTTTCTAAATGTCAAATTACTAATTAAAGTAATGAAATGGGTTGTTTGTCAAAGTGAGACTTTTTCACCATTAAATTTCAACATTTAAGCATTATGAGTACTTTTTTGTGTTGTATCTATGTTATTAATTTTAGTTTTTCAGTATATTCAAGAAAAACATCAACAGGAGGAAATTCTACGAAATCTCAGTCAAAAGTACCACAATATAAAAAATGATAGCTACTTAAAGGAGCAACTTTTGACAAAGAAGACTTTAGAATATGACATTCTCAAAAGTGAAACTCTTCGGCAGAAAAAGGAACTGGACTCACTCTTTATAGAAAAGAAGAGATGTCATAGAAAACAGGAGAGCTTTTCAAAGTCTTTGCAAAATACAGGTATTTTGGGTATAGGAGGAAATCTTGAATGAAAGATTGCATGATTTTTTATTATTTTTTCCCCTCCAGAGGCTTTGAGGCCTAACAAACAGGCCTATGGTGTATGCTAGCGATCTATGTCTACTGGACAACTTTAAATTGTGCTTGTTAGATGTAGTATGGGTATTTGTGTTTATGTGTTTCAAATATGGGATTAAGACCCTAGAAACCATGTTTGGATTAGTAGAGCCCTATGTTTCCCAAAATTCAATGGCGGTTCTTGCATTCCTACTTCTCCTAGAAGGTGAAATAATATGTCAGCTCCCCTGAAAATTTGGGTCATTTTGGAACTGTGGGCAAATTAGACACTCCCATTTTGTTGCTGACATGAAATATCGAGGCTATCAGTAAAAATATACTTAGGCA